TATGTGCTTTTCAAAACATTGTGAGAAATAGATCAATGGTAATTAATTGTATATAAATACAATGTGAATAACTTTATAAGGAGGAATGTGACATCAGAATTGGAGGAACATTCATTAACAACTGGCATTATGCAGATGATGTAATATCACTTGCCAAAATTGAGGAAGACCTGAACTGTTTATTGCGGAAGGTCAAAGGACTGCAGCCTTCAATATGGATTGAAGATCAGTCAACATCAAGAAAACAAAGATTCTCACCACTGGGCCAATTGGCAGCATCATGATAGATGGAGAAGAGACTGAAATTGTTAAAAATTTCAGCCGCTTGGTTCCACAATCAACACACTTGGTACCAGCAGTCAAGAAATCAAAAGATGAATTAATTGCATATGAAAATCTGCTGTCAGTGACTGCTCCAGAGTGCTGAACAGCAATGATGTCAGTCTAGAGACTACGGTGTATGTAATCCAAGCCATGGTCTTTGCAATTACTTGTTATGAATCAGAGAGCTAGACAATGACTAAGGATGATAGAAGAATCGACATCTTTGAGTTAGGTGCCATTGAGTCAAGTATGGCTCACAGAAACCCTACGAACAACATATAAACCGTGTCCTATCCTTGCTATTCTCATCATTGCTGAATACTTGAGCCTGTTGCTACAGTCACTGTGATAATTCATTTCATTGAGGATCTTCTTCTCCTTCACTGACCCTCCATCATTCCAAGCATACTATCTTTTTGCAAGGCATAGTCTCTCCTAACAATATACATTTTCAATCTGTATGCCGAGCAAATAATTCATGAAACTGGAGTCTACGAACAAGAACCTGGCATAATGATTTAAGGAAGATTCATCAAAATCTGCAATATACAGATGATAAAATTTTGCTTATGGAAGTAAGGAGGACCCAAATTGCTTGCTGCAGAAGGTTGAATAACACAGTCTTAAATATGGATTAAATCTCAATATAAAGAAAGCAAAGGACCTTACTCCTGGGCCAATAGACAACATTATGATAGATGCAGAAAGGATTGAAACTGCAGATGATTTCATCTTACTTATCCACAATAAACACCCTTGGTACCAGAAGTCATAAGATCAGAAGACATATTGCTTTGGGCAAGTCTGCTGTCAGGGACCTCTTCTAAATACTTCTGAAGAGCAAAGATCAAAATACTGATGCCACTTTGAAGATTAAGGTGCACCTGACTCAGGTCATGATCTTTTCAATTACTTGCTATACTTCTGAGAGCTGGACCACTGATAAGGAAGACAGAAGAAGAATTGATGTCTTTGAGTTGTGGTGCTGGAGAAGAGTACTGAATATCCCACAGACTGCCAAATGAACAAACATATATCTTGGAGAAGGTACAATCAGAATTCTCCTTGGAAGCAAGGATGGAGAAGATTTGTCTCTCCTACTTTGGACATGTTGCTAAGAGAGTGATTCCTTGGAAAGTGATATCAAGCTTGGAAAAGTGGAGGAAGAGCCCCACTGTGGTGGATTGACACAGTGACTGCAGCAATGGGAGTATATCAGAGATGATGAGGATAAGACAAGATTCAGGTCTGCTCATATGAGTCATACTGGGCTTGATGTCACTTAACAACAACAACAAAACAACAACATACCCAAAGAATGTGTGAGGAAACTTCACCATCTTTACCTCTAAGGAACATTCTGGCTAACCTTTCTCCAAGACATACCTATTCTTTTGACAGTCTTTGAGATATTAATGAGATATTCTTCTCTGAAGATTGCTCTGGTGCGTAGAGAAGCCAAAACACAAGGAAGAATTCAAGATAATAAAGATCTGAACAGAAGATTCCAAAAGACAGCACGGAATGACAAAGGAAAATATTACAATGAAATGTGCGAGGAGCTAGAGTGGGAAAATCAAAAGGGCAGAATTTGTTCAGCATTTCTTAAGCTCAAGGAACTGAAGAACAAATTCAAACGTAGATTTGCTATAATTAAGGATGCTTTAGGCAGAATACTAAATGATCCAGGAGGTATTAAAAGAAGATGGAAGGAATATACTGAGTCATTGTATCGAAAGGAATTGGCAGATACCGAAGAATTTAATGAAATAACATTTGAGCAAGAGCCTATGGTGATGAAGGAAGTAGTTCAAGCTGCTTTGAAGGAAATAGCAAAAAATACAGCCCCAGGAACAGATGGTATATCAATTGACATATTTCAGCTAACAGATGCTGCCCTGGATGTGCTCACCAAGTTGTGA